ATTTTCATAAAAAAAAAAAAAAAAAAAAAAAAAAATATATATATATATATATATATATATATAAGTGTTAATTGGACCCCCACTACTTGTTCTATAAGGCAAGATTAATCCAAAAAGAAAAAAGGAAAAAAGAAACACATGAGAAAGTGGAGCTACGTTATATATCATACAATTTCTAAGAAAGCGTGGTTTATGTACATAGAAACATATAGTTGAAAGTAAAGATGATTAGGTTTGTCAAAGGCGCTATATTGAATGCAGCTTTGTGTTATACATGTCAGTTAGTGATCTATCACTATTATATATATATATATATCATGATGATGAGTTTCATCATGAAGCTTTCTTAAAACTTATTTGAATTATGACCCCATATGATATATATCATCACTTTTGGGAAATTTTTTTTTTTCCATTTTTTGCATTAAGAATTTCAAAATATATGAAGATTAAATTTGAACAAAAGGATGTATTAATTTAAGCTATTTGATTCACATTATTTTATGAACTTTAAACTTGAATTGGAAAAATGTAAAAATTCTTAATTCCCAAGGGAAAAAAACCATTTAAAAAAAAAAAAAGATATGGAAACAGTCCAGTTTAAAAAACAATATATTCTGTTAAATATATATATATATATTATTTTTCTTCTGAAATGAATTTGTCAAAAATTCTCCAACTATAATGACGAGTATTTTTGAATCATACTATACGACCCTTGTAACTTGTGGCGTTAAAAGATCCCAGGAGGACGAATGCATAATTTCATACACTACGAATTTGGCTGTTAAAAAGCTGCCGGGCAATCTCCGAAATACATCCTCGATCCAGGGGTATTTTCGTAAGCACACATTTGAAAACTTCTCTAAATTCGACCGTTACAACACTTAAATACAGATTTAGCATTGGCCCGTTAACCTCAACCCCAAGTCTCTCTCTCTTTCTTTCTTTCTTTCTTTCTTTCTTTCTCTGCTCTTATTCTCTGTCTCACTCTCTTTTTCAAATTCCATGGCCGATCAAAGCACAAGCACGTCAATCATGGAGCCCAAAACCCCACACCCACTTCAGCAAAACGCCGATACGCCGACCCAAAGCTTCTCCTCAAGCAATGGCTCAAAGAGGAAGAGCTAATCCTCGGCCGAGTAACCCTCAAGGAGACCCAGATCAACTCGGTTCGAAAGGAGATCACCAATCTGTACGTCTTCTTCTTCCTCTTCCACTCCCTCTCCCTCGTCATCCTCTTCAACGCCGCCTCCTCGTGGGCCCCGCACGGAGGCGGCGCGGTGTGCAGGATTTCGTGGATCCCGTCGCTTTGCTCCCTTCTGTTCTCGTTGGGGCTGATCTGGGCCGTCCGGTACAAGACTGACACCGAGGTCCACCTCGAGAAGATGCTGGAGAGGGAGAAGGAGGACGGGAAGCTCCTCGCGAGGTGCGTAGAGGAGCTGAAGAAGAAGGGCGTCGAGTTCGGCCTGCTGAAGGAGGTCGACGCGCTGCGTCGGGCGAAGAGTCTCCGCGTCGAGGCGAAACCGGTGAGGAAGTGGTCAGCCAGGGACTTTGTTACCCTCTTCTTCTTCAGTGCTTCCTGTTTTGTTCTTGTCATCACAAGGGTCATCTTGTGTGATTAGGGTCTCTTCCTTTATTTTTTGTGGGGTAAAGGGTATTTTGGGAATTATTGGGATGATTCATTGATTTTTGTTGGTTTTCTGTTTTTTGGGTTGTGGCAGAATACTCTTGTTCTGCTTTTAGTGAACATGTTAAGTTGAAAGTGTATAAGAATATTATGAATAAAATTTTGGGACTGATTCATTGCTTTTCCTAGTCTTTGCATTATTGAAATCTTCTTTAGAATGTGGGACATTTGGTGGTTGATTTTGGAATTTGGAATTTGTCTTCTCTATAGAATGTGGGACATTTGGTGGTTGATTTTGGTGATTTATTGTGGTGCCAAGAAAAGTTTTGGGACTGATTGCTTGGTGTCAAAATCTTCTTCACTAGATCTGATTTGGATTTTGTTTTATATAGAAATGGGCCATTTGATGTTTAATTTAGATACTTCTTTCTTTTTCTTTTTTGCTTTCCTTCATCTTTTTTTTTTCTTTTTTTTTTGTGTGCCTATTTTTGGTAGCTGTCACACTAATATTGAGAGAGTATTATCAAAAAATAAAATAAACCACTTGCGCATAACTTTAATTTTGTGCAAGTTCAACAATACAGTAGGTCCCCAAAGCTGCTAATATTGGTGATTTATTGTGGTGCCAAGAAAAGTTTTGGGACTGATTGCTTGGTGTGAAAATCTTCTTCACTAGATCTGATCTGGATTTTGTTTTATCTAGAAATGGGCCATTTGATGTTTAATTTAGATACTACTTTCTTTTTCTTTTTTGCTTTTCTTCATCCTTTTTTTTTTTTGCCTATTTTTGGTAGCTGTCACACTAATATTGAGAGAGCATTTATCAAAAAATAAAATAAACCACTTGCACACCAACTTTATAAAAGTAGCTCAATAATTTTGTGCAAGTTCAACAATACAGTATGACCCCAAAGCTGCTCTTAAAGTTCCAAATGCAATTATTGTCACATTTCCTTCCAACTTAAAGTTCCAAATTCCATTTGAAGATGAAATTTTCAGATATAAGGAGTTATGGGAATACAAAAGAAGTTAAGCAATAAAAATTGACCAAATATTATAATGGCCCGCTATTACAGCTGTGCTGATTAGTAATGCGATTCTAACAAGTAACCTGGAAGGTTACCATTTTTGGTAATCTTCTGAAAATCCTCCTTCTATGGCAATGATAACTGGGGATTATCATCAAAGCATATCGTGTGTTTGGAATAATGAAGAGAAGCTTCAAAATATATATATATATATATATGTATATATATTTTTTTTTTTTTTCTGTAGATACAAGCCCTTATATAGGACACCACTAAAGAAATCTAAAAATTTAGTGACAACCTCTTGTTCACAACTTATTTTTTGTGTTTTCCTGTAATTAAATATGAGAGTCACATTAGTAGCAACTTATCATAACTCGTCATTAATATAGTTACAACCCTTGCATATTGCTAATTTGGAAGCAGAACATAAGGGAGTGAGTTTCTGATGTAGAAAACGTTAGGATTTAGGGTATTTAGGATTTATCTTTTATCTTTATTTTATTTTGTGTTAATTTTATTTTTTATTTTTTTTATTTTTTATTTTTTTTTTCTTTCAATTAGTTCTAGTTCTATTACAATGATTAGTTTTCAGTTCTATTAGAAATCAAATAACAAGAGAGCTATAAATTATGTACTCCGTGATCTATTAATTTATTCAGACACTCATTCAGTTATTTAATAAAATTCATAGTTTTTAGCTCAGAAGCTTGCTACTCTTTTATTAAATTACATAATAGCTTTACTGCCATATATGGGATAAATTTATTATTACTAGTACATTAACTATGCAAAGCCACGGATGTATTTTCTCTAGTGTCAATTACGTATAGTACTCATCAGGAACAAAGGACTAGTGTGTGAAATTTACAAGACTTTCACAATTGCAATCACCAAAAATATATTCAAATCCAAACTCAAATTATCAATTTTCATCTTCCCTCACCAATGGAGCTGTGAAGCATATAGGTCGAGATGCACCATTTTTAGGTGATGTCATAGTCACTGCATCTGTCACCATGCTTGCGCTCACGGATGAGTCGTAAAAGCTCGAATCTATTCCTTTAGTTGCAATGCCACTCATTAGGCTGCTCACGTCGTCAAATTTCCAGTCTGCCAAGTAACCAGGCCTCGAAATTTCGGTGCTCACTTCAATGTCTCCTGAAAGCATTGCCACCACTCTTGACATGGATGGCCTGATTGTTGGCGATGTTTGCGTGCATAAAAAGGCGACTCTTATGACCCTTCTCACTTCTACCTCATCGAATTCCGATAGTTCTGAATCCACCAAGTCAATTTCGCGCTCTTGTTCTTGAAGATTCCAAGCCTAGAAAATTCATATCAAATTGCATTAGGGACTTGAGAAAGTTATTCGATTGTTGAATGCCAAGAATCCAACTTTCTATGAAAACTAATACCGAAAGGTCACATAAAGATGCAAAAAATTCTATCAACCAATCTAATACAGTACTAATAGTTCGTAGTCCGAACAGCCTCAATGCTAATAGTTCAAGTACTAACAACGCAAAAATCCAAAGAACATGTGAAAAATAGTTCATTTAGAAACCAAGTAAAAGAGTTCATAAAGTTTGTTTTCCTTACCAATTCAAGGAGATAGACCTTTTCTTCTTCTAAGCTAGTGTCAGAATTTGACCTGCCACTGATAAGTTCTAAAGCCACAACGCCGAAGGCAAAGACATCAGTTTTCTCCGTTAGGTGCCCACGCATGGCGTATTCTGGCGCAAGATACCCACTAGAACATCATCAACAGTAAGTTTGAGTCGACAAATGATCAGTAGTACATTGACAAGTAACAAAGAAAACTAAGGTTTTCGAGATCTTACATTGTCCCGGCAACGCGAGTACTAATGTGCGTCATTTTGTCATCATAAAGTTTGGCCAAACCGAAATCCGATATTTTGGGGACAAGATTAGAATCAAGCAGAATATTGCTAGACTTTACATCTCTGTGTACGATTCTAAGCCTCGACTCCTCATGAAGATAAGCAAGACCTCTTGCTATACCCAAGCAAATGTCGAACCGACTTGACCAATTCAGGTTCAACCTATGGTTTCCTGAATAACATCCAGGCCAGCCATAGAAATTATTAGATTGATCACTAATTTGTTTTAATGTTGTTTTTTTTTGTAAGATTTATATGTACATGTACTTGTTTAGGAAAAAAAAATGTTTCTTGTACCAACAAATAATGCTTGATCTAGACTCTTCTTTTCCAAGTACTCATAAACAAGAAGTCGTTTGTCTCCATCAATGCAACATCCATGGAGTTTCACCAGGTTTCGATGTTGAACAGCGGATATTGTGGCGATTTCAGTCACAAATTGCTTTTCCCCTTGGTGGGAAGTCAAAGACAGCTGCTTCACAGCAATAACTCTTCCATCTGCAAGTGTTCCCTGTGAAAAGAAATTCAAAGTTTTTGGTGCTACTAAAGGTCAATTGTTTAATCTTCAGATTATAATTAAGTCTAATTAGAGTAACTAATACCTTGTAGACAGGTCCAAATCCTCCTTCTCCCAACTTATTAGTCGGATCAAAATCATTTGTCGCCGACCTTAGTTCGGCGTAACTGAAGGTGAATGGTCTCACATCCATATTCAAGAGCTCTGCAAATCAACTAAAAGTCAATATGCTTTTCTTTTTTATTTTTCCCCCTATATTTTCTTGCAGAAACTAACAATGTATAAAGAGATCAGTTACAAATAGTTTCCTTAAGAAACAAACGAAGCAAGTGCAAGTGTTTATTTGTTTATCTATTGCTTACTTAAACTAAAAATCTTCTTTTTTCTTTTTACTAACTGTTAGAACTCATAAAATAGGGAAAAAAAGTTTAAAAGTCAGGAAAAAGAAAAGAAACCTGCAAAGAGAAAGAAATAGTTACCTTCATCATTACTCATTTTAGCTTTTCTTCTTCTATGGATAATAAAGAAGATCACAACAGACAGGACTAAAACCCCAGCACCAACAGCAATTCCCACAATCAGACCTGTCCTATTCTGATTCACAGTTGGTGTGAACTCATTGCTTGGAGGCTTGTTACTCACAGTTGGTGTGAAATCTGTGACAATATTGAAAACATCATTAATAACAGTCTTTAAGGGTCCATTTGGTTCACGTGTTCAAGTCAGTGATTCTGATTCACTGGCTGGAACTTCGTGAGAGAAATTTTTAAATTCAAATTCTTTGTGAGATGAAAAACTCCGTAACAGAATCAAAATTATGGGTTTAAGTTCATGTGCCAAACGGACCCTAAATGCTTAAACCAAAATGAAATGTTTGGGACAATTTTGTTACCAGGGGTAGCACTGATGGCTGCAATGGAAGGTCCATAGGTACCTTGTTGAGGTATGCAACAAGTTCCTTTCCCGGCCCAAAAGAGATGCACTTCAAGGTAGTTATTTGACACTAGAGCCTTATACTCCTTCTGGACAGCCCTTTCGGATATCTCACCAGCCTCCTTTCGGATATCAAAATCTTTCAAAACACGATTCCCCTATCCAAGAATAGTGAGAAAAAGAAGTTGCACTATCTCTGTCATAAAACATAATGCGAGACCAATTTGGTGAAGAATAATACCTGGATGTAGATATCAAATACACGCCTTCCGCGACTCTTCCAACTCCGAGTGTTCTCAATAGCTATTTCTGTGAACTCGAGTTGCACGGTGTAGTTACCGTTCTCGAGTCCCAGGCCATAGTACCTCAACGACGAGGCAGAAAGCCTTAATGTCTGGAAAAGTTCCGAGTTTAAAGTATTTGTGAATTGAGCCGAAGAAGAACTTGTATAAATAGCATTGTTGTTTTCCGCAAAAAGTCCGACATTGCTAACTGCCCATCTGTTGGTGCTGGTCACAAAGTGGTTAGCTGGACCAAGAGTCTCACTATCCGTTTCATACACAATGCTACTATCAGATGATGTGATTTGAGTACCACCAGAGTTAACTCCAAAGTTGTAATCTTCATAGAAGTGCAAACAAATCTTGTTATTTATCTAATATGTTTTGGGAAAAGGGTGTTTTCTTTTGCACATTAAAAATGGCCAAGCGCTCACAACTATTTGAATGGAATACAATCAAGTCAAGTGTGAATTCTACTTACATATGGGATTGCCTTTATTGCAAGAGAAATCCTTTTGGAGGCAGTTCAATCCTGAAAGAAGATCTCTGAAAGAGGAAGTGGAATGAACTTAGATAAAATATGAAGTTATTTGCTGAAGAACAAGCACTAGCCATTTGCAGTGATGCAGAGAAAGAAGGTTAAGCAGTGTCATTTGAGCATATTATTTGTTTGGATACAACCAAGAGAAGCAAAAACAAATGGAGTAAACACTACTTAAAAGTTTTGAACATATATTACTTGTAGTGTAGTAGATTATGTGCAAATAGAATGCAATTGTTAGAGAAGAATCACCTGTTCTCTGAACTTTGTATTGTAAAGTTGTTGCCAACCAGGTTACTGCATAAAAGAACAAGAAAAGAAGAAGAGAAGAAATATTAGTTTATCCTAACATGTAAAGAAATCAAGCTAGCGGTATAAAAGACAAGCTCATTACTTAATAGACGAAGAGCATATACTATTACCACAAATTTAACAAATAAGAAAAGAAAAGAAAACTAAGGCCCCGTTCATTTCATTGGTCGAAATCACAACTCAAGCTTTTGTTACAATGTTTTCTCTCAAAAAAATTCAAATTCAACTTTTTATGCTGCAGTGTTTTTTCTCACATAAATTAACTTTTCAACTCGAGCTGAAAACTCAAACCAACGAAACGAATGAGCCCTTTAATGTTTACTTGAATATCAGGCAAGCCAATGACATACATCTTTAAGTTTGTTCCATTGACCCACGAAGGAATGCTGCCCACTAGATTATTGTATGAAACATCTCTGCAAGCATAACATGGGACAAAACCATAAATGTTTGATTCACTACCATGACCATTTCTAAACATAGTCAACTAGTGGTATACTTACATAGTGAGAAGAGATTTGCTTTTTTCTTGGGGCAGTGAACCATTCAAACTATTGTTTCCTAGAAACCTGATTAAGGAAAAAGAAATATATGATTCATTTCATTGAGATTAGCTGTCACGAGGCATCTGATACAATCAAATAGAGAAGATGTATTACAGATCAGAGAGTGAACTCAAGTTGAAAAGAGAGTCCGAAATCCGTCCGTTTAATTTGTTGAAGCTCAAGTCCCTGGAAATAAGAGAATAAAAATTCATGACTTAAAAAGAAAAGCTAGAAAACTACAAACACATATTTACATCCGAAAGTTGGGCTCAACTTACAGCCGTAACAACTTTTGGTACTCCCCGATATCTGACGGAATCGAACCAGTGAAGTTGTTATTCCTCAGCACCCTACAGGTGACATAAATGAGTTGCTCAAAGATGCGTTATGAATTATATGATTATGTGTAGAAAAAACATTTCGCTTACAAGGTGCTTAGAGACTTTAAGTCCTTGATAAATGCGAGAGAAGAATTCACATTCGACACTTCGCTCAATCGCCTATCGACATACCAGACACAAGATAGTTAGCTCTATGAATCTGTAGACAAACATGAAAGTGACCAGTAGGCCTATTTATATAGCAACTCACAAGTCTGATAGAGAAGTTAGATTTGCAAATGTTGATGGAATGGGCCCTTCAAAAGAGTTTCCTTGAAACCTCCTATAGAAAACACACAAAAGTAACTAGAAATCAATCATAAAATTCTAGAGTTTGATTGTTTTTTTATTCTTATTTTTCCTCTCCATTTCAGTGATATGGGTGTGGTTTTAATGGTTACTCGAATATTTACTCATCAATGGGTATTGTTATTTTAGTTGTAAGATATTGATCCGGCATCTATAATAAATTAGATAGTTGACAAAAAAATTAATGACATTTAATGAATCTGAATTTTTATCAGGCTACGTTATTAAATTTCCTTATTTAATGGTAACCACTGATGAAACGTACTACCAATAACTATTGAAAACAAGTCTATATATATATATATATATATATATTAAGATATCAATTAATTTGTGTAGAACAAACGATGAAGGTTTTACAGTATCCTGAGGCTTTGAAGATTTGCAAATGTTGAAGGAATCTCTCCACTAACTCCAGAGCTATCAATGTAACTGTGAAATAAACAAGGCAAATTTCAGTGACAAGTAAAATTGTTATATGATAAACTTAAATCAGAAAAGAAAAAAGAAAGTAGGAAAGAAAAAGAGATTGACAAAATTACAGTTTTTCTAGTTTTGACAAGCTCCCCAGCTCAGACGGAAGAGGACCAGAGAAGTTGTTTGAACTAAAAGACCTACAAAAAAGAAAAAAAAAAGTGACATAATTCAATTTATTGTGTATAATTTTTTTAACTGCAAAATGGAAATTTCAAAACATATAATAAGATTGCTATTGAGATTTGAGAATGCCAATTACTCACAAAGTTATTAGATCAGTAAGTTGTCCTAGTTCCTTTGGCACCTCCCCTAATAAGGCATTTAGGTCAAATCTCCTGATAGTAACCAAACAAAGAACACCAAAAATGAAATAAATAAATAAATAAATAAAAATGTTTATTTGTAACATAAATATGTCCATTTTCTTGTTAGATTCAAGCTGGATTTTTAGTATACTTACAAGTGTTGCATGCGGGTGAGATTGCCAATGGATGGAGAAACAGAACCTGTCAAGTAATTTTGGCCCAAAATGCTGTAACAAAAGGAATATAAGCCTAATTTTAGTGGAATTTTTTCCATGTGACAAACAATATAGTTTGATGTTATAAACAGAAAATGAAGTTGGCGTTGATTTTGTAAAGAGAAAGGAGCAATGAAAATGGCCAGAGAAGCCATACAGACTGAAGAGGAAGGTCAGATTCCATAGCTCTTCTGGGATTGGCCCAGCAACATCCATTGAAAATACTTTCCTGCAACCAAATTTTGGTGACAAATTAAACACAAAAATAAAAGTATTTGACGTTAACTACATAGCGAATGGACGTTTCATATTTTAGAGCAACGGACGTTATGTTTTAAAAAATCAGAGACAAAGTGTTATAAAGATCATAATTTGAGAAAAATTTTATAAGTAATCTTTCTATTTATTATCTAGAGCTTATCTAAAAATAGAAAATACAAGACACATAAGACATGTTACATAGAACAGTACTGTAGATCCTAATTTATCTTTCAAATTTTTACGTACCAAGTAATGTATCAAATAAGTTGTCAATTTTTAATTCGTAATTACAACTTTTTGCAAAGAGATTTACTAATCAGAAAATGATAATTCACTTATCACTTTTGGCCTCTGGATTAATGTTACAAATTACAGCCTAAACTATATTCCTCGTCTCATTTTGGCCCTGTGGTCATGAAATCGTTACAAACTCAATGGAACTAACCGTATGAACCTCACATTACTGGTTAATGAAGGGTATTTTAGACTCGTGAAGCAATTAAGATGAACTAAACTAAATTTAACCCTCACATACTTTGTTAGCAGCAAGCTAATGAGTAGAGAATAAAGTTTTAAAATATCTCTTTTCTCTTATTAACTAAGTATGTGAATGTCACGTAGTTGATTTTCTCGAGTTGTCAAAAATTTTGTGAATAAAGGTCAAATGTGAAACAAAAAACGTAGTCTAGGGTGCAATTGGTAACATATTAAAGTTTGAGGATCAAAATGGAATACAAAATATAGTCTAGGGGCTAAAATTGACATTAACCCAAAAAAAATAATATAGTTGAGATCCCTATCAATATCATCTTATCAATTGGCAAATGTAATAATATCCCCTCATAATATTATACAATCAAACATACATGTACACGTAACACGTATAAATAGGACTTACAATTGGGTGATGTGGCAAAGAGAATTATTGTTGGAAGAACAATCGCATTTGATAAAGGGATTGTATGTATCAAAGCCGATGGCGGTGTCTATGGCGGCTCCACTGCACGGATCCCCAGTTGTATTCCATTGTTGAGTGTCAGCCTTTATGTTCCATTGGTCAAATATTGAATTCAAGGCTCTCACTGCAGTCAAATTGTACATTATTTAGGGGACGTTTAGAAAGAAAATTAATTTTTAATTTAAATTATGATTTATAATTGATTATAATGTTTTTTTTTTTAAAAAATATACATAAATTGAAAACGCTTGTATCAACATAATTCAAAAGTTATTGTTCTTTATATTATTGTTCTGCAGCCAAATATTTTATATTATTGTTCTTCAAAAGTTAACTAATATGTCATGTGTCTAAAAGCAAAGGATAAGAAAAAATATTCATAACGACCGCCATTGCTATATCCCACCAAATATTGCCATGTTGTACACAAATTTAATGAACTTAATTTAATTGCTGCAAAATTGCTACTTAAATAAAGATGACTTTTTTTTTCTCCGCCAAATAAGGTTGTTCTTTCTGCCAGGTATAAACCCACTTATGAAAGAAAAAAAAAATGAAAACCATAAACCCAGTTCTCTTTTTTGTTTGAAAAGAATAAACCAAATTTTATGAACGCGTACTAGTTATCTCCTATGGGACTAATTATTAAGATGAAAAACTGCAACATATGTACATTAGTTTGTTGATTAAACTTTGCAAAAATGACACTGAGAGGAAAAAGATGGAGAGAGAGAGAGAGAGAGAGAGAGGACCTTCAGAGGGATCTGTGGTGGCTTGAGTTTCATTTGTTAAAGAAGCTGTGAGAACAAGGACGAAGGCAACCCAGAAAGTGAAGACGTGAAAATTAGCTGATGATGAAAGTGAAACTCCTGACATGAATTAATTTGCAGGTCCTTGACCCTTTCTCTGCTACAGCTTAATATGAAGAATATACCAAACTCAAGAGGAAAGTGAAAGAGATCAGATCATCATATAGAGGGAGAACTTAGATTTAAATATTCCGAGAGCTATTCAGAGACCCACAACAAGTGTATCTAACTATCTATCTGTCTATCGAAATATATACATATATATATGAAATATGCTGCATAATAATAATAGAATAGGTCATTTTACTTAAATGTAGCATTATTAGTAATTGTTCGTGTTTATAACACTCAGTTTACTTAAATGTAGCATTACAAAGTGTAGACAACATATGTAATATTGACTGTCATATTTGAACAAGTTAAAAATGACTCATATGTAGAAAAACGTTACATGAGAATAAAAAATCTTAACATGGATAAAGCGTCCAACTTTATTCTCTCAATTGCGGATCATATTATTTAGACTATTATCTTTAGATTCTTATCTTCTGCATGTTCTTCTCATTACATGCATGATCTAAAGATTTAGAATGACAATCTCAACTTTTAGTTTGTTTATCATACATTCAACTAATTTGTACGTAAAGAGGACAATACATAAATATATGAAATAAATAAATCTTTATTAATAGTCAAAATGTCTCGAAGAGCAATTTATTCCTATGGGTATAAATGCTAACCCCCAGACCCTTTTGAGAAATGGTTAATCAATCATCACGATGTACTGATTTGTGGTTTATCACCTATTAACTAAATATCGGCTATTGCTTAACCAATTTTAATTAATGATTTACTGGTTTATGAATGATAAATCATTAGTAAATCATTGATAAACTAGTTTATTTATGACAAACCAACGGTGTTTCACCTAAAAAAATTTCTCATTTACCCAAAAAGAATTCAATAATTAATGTTAGGTATTTTGTTAGCTGGGTTGTTTTTGGTACGTGTCTTTAAATTCAAAAAATAAGTACTATGTGATCATGGTACAATTTCTCATTTACCCAAAAAGAATTCAATAATTAATGTTAGGTATTTTGTTAGCTGGGTTGTTTTTGGTACGTGTCTTTAAATTCAAAAAATAAGTACTATGTGATCATGGTACAAATTTGACGATCGAGTTATTAGGAAGAGAAAAAGTTGATTAGCTTAATTATGGAAAGGATCGGATTTCTCGATGCATTCACTTATGCGGATTTGGTTGACTTTGATATGAGATAATGAGGATTTGATGGATATGGATTTCATGGAGATGATTTTGAAAGAAGATTTGATTGTCATATTCAAATTAGGAGATTTGTTAGAGATAATGTGCTCATATAGAAAAAACGAGATCAAGTTTTTGCCAAACAGTCTATTCTCTTACTTATTTATTTCTGAAATTGAACACCTATTAAGAGTGTGAGATTAACTGTTGTTTGCTATTCTATTTTAGCAACTTATGAAGAAAAATATAACCCTTTCCATAAGGCATATATTTCTTTCATTTACTAAAGGATAATAAAGATTAATTTAATAAATCCTCATAATCTTATTTTCCTTAATTTCCCTTGGTATGATATTAAAGCCCTATTCGGCCTAGGACTTATACATGACATTCTAACTTTTACGCGCTGAAATTTATACTCCAACGGAGTCTCTTAAACTAATGTGAGTGTTGGACCCACATTAAATCTTCAAAATTCTACGGTCCTATCGTATTGGGCTCGTAGGTGCCCGTCGGGATAATTCGCTCGGTAAACCACTATATTCTTTAAAGAAAGCATTTTTTCTTGAAAACTTCATTTATGAATAATTTCATTAAAATGAGGTTTAATGTCATTGTATTTTACTGAAATTCTATCTCGGGTTCTTTTATAACTTTTTGTTGAAACCGACATTATTTTAGTTTTGTCTCGTTAAAAACTGTACAGTTTTTGAAATTTACATTTTACTATATCTTAGAGTCAGATTTTAAAATTTTGTTCTTCATGAAAATTTCTCATCTCGTCGAGATCTAAAATTGTCATTTTTGGTGAAAGTTGAAATTCGGCCTCTAAAGGCCCCGTTTGGCCGAAAACCGTAGCTACTGTTTTTCTTGAAATTGTTTTAGTCAAAAACTGTGCCTTTTCAGAAATCTACCTTTTTACTACATCTTAGGATTGGATTTTGAAAATCTGTTCTTCACAAAAGTTATTCGTCTTGTCGAAATCTAAACTTGTCATTTTTATGAAAAATTGAGATTCAGCCTCTAAAAGTCTCGTTTGGCTGAACTAGTTTTGTTCCCGAAACTGTTTTGGGACTGCCTGTGCTGTTTTTGAAAAATGGCTTAAAACTTGCATTTAGAGTTAAAATTAGGTTTTGTCATAGTCACATAAAACGTTTAAAATATCGGGGACTATAAGTTTAAGCTTTGAAACATCTAAAAATCTCACTCTAGGGTCCTCGTTTTCACGTTCAAAGTAACCGGAAAATTTTTTCTCTAACCCAAAATAAGCAACTTAAACCGAACGTAATCATACCACATATTGCTAATCATACTAACCTCAAAACTCACAAAACTAACATAAAACTCACACACCCTTATTACAACACATCTTTCTCAAGAACCACAAATTTACATCCACAAATCCAAGCTTAAAGTTGGCTAGAAATTAATGGAGAAGAGTTTGAGAACTTACCCTTGAAGAACTCTCTCTCTCTCTTGAAAACCTTTGAACTCCTCTAAGATTTGTTAATAGTTTGGAACTAAAAAGTACAAGGAAATTTAAGAGGAATATTTCTACATTTTAAACTTTACTAAAACATGAAAAAAAGAGGGGATTTAGAGTTTCTTTACCCTTGGAGAATGCTTGACTAGTCTCCTCCTAGAATCCCTTGATCTCCTTCCTCTTCTTCTATGGTTTGCTAGTGGCTCAAAATTAGGAGAGTGGGAGAAAATATTTTGAGAGAGAGTGGAGAGTGTGGCCGGATTTTGAGTGGGGAAAAAGATAGAAGAAAAAAAAAATGAAGCTTATCCTATATTGGTTCCTTTTATAGGCAACTTGGTGATCATTTATTTAACTCCAATTTCACATCATCATTCAACCAAATTTTTGGTTCAAATCCCCCTTTCTTGGCCGGTTTTGGAAGGAGAAAAGAAGAAGCCATTTTGCCATTAATTCCCCTTCAACCACTACCATCACATCACCTTAACATGTAACCTTCTAACATACTCAACTAGCTAAATTTTGGCTCTATTTCTACTATACATGGCCGGTGGAGTGCTTCAAGAAGGAAGTGTGGTAAGCATTTATGTCCAATAGTTGATTTGACACAATTCTATCACACCTTACCATGTAATCCCCTAGCACACTCAACTAGTCAATTTTGGCTCTATTTTTTCTATGCATGGCCGGCCAAAGTGGAGAAGGAGAGAGAGAGAAATAAATCCTACCCCTTGTACTTTAGTCCACTCTCTTAGGTTACCTTTGAATCAGGTAAAAATAATACTGACTGTAAAGGGTACTTAGTTGACAGGAAATTCTTGTTTCTGACGGTTTTTTTTCTACTGCTTATTTACAGTTCAACTGTTAAATCCTCGTCTGCTTTGATGTCACGTTGAATTCTTACTCGCGTAATATCTTAAACTGCTTCAAGTCTTGAAATTAATTCTAGTCTGAATAAATTCTAAATTTAACTTTTCTGCATTATATCCCGGGAATGACATTGTTTCTGACGGTGTCAACTCCCGAGCTCACATTGTACCCTTCTACTATAGGTATTTCTCTTGTGACTTTAACCAAGCTGTCTGGCAATTAAGGATTTTTTCTTCTTTAAAAATGTCAGTGCGTTTTTTTTACGCTGCTAACATCATGCTGTATTTGGAGATTCTTGAAATTAAGATTCTCAAACTATACTTGTATTGAAAATTATTCCGCCTTAAAGTACGGCAAGAATTTATCAATCGAATTTACTTGATCAAAAACATGAACTTAACATGAAATCTGCTACAGAATTTAGGAATACAGATATTGATTCCATAAATCCTTCAGTCACATAATATTTTCTAGGAAAATCCTTGGCTTAAATAAATAAATTGTATTATTTAAAGTCTGGAATTTTCTCAGTCATTACAATAGTAGGTAAGTAAATTTATAACAGTTTATTATGGTTCTGAGCATAAATAAATACATGAATGAGATTAAAACTTATTCTGACTCTAACTCCTAAAACATAAATAAATAACATTTAAAAATTAATAACTTATCCTGATTCTAATTTTTAATTCTAATTTTTTATTTTAATTCTTATCCACTCTAGATGTTTGGTTGGAGAATTCAAATCATGTGATTCGAATTATTTTTTATTTATGTGTATTTTTTATAAAAAAAAATACTGTAATAAATCACAAATCTAATAAATTTCTCTATCAAACATTCTCAGAATCTTTCTCATTTTTATTACGGATAAGAAAACATGTCATGTGATTGTGATTTGAAAGGGCTTTTTCATGCGCGCGCGCGTACGCGCCCATGAAGAGAGTGCAATGCGCATGACCCATTCTAGGGGTTGACGTCAATTCAAACATTGTGACTTGTTACAAAACTCACCAATGGCAAGAAAGGTCTTTGTCATCTCTGCGACGTACCTCAAAGGGTTGGGCTCCAGTTTTGAGTTTTTCTAAAGTTTTTTTTTTTTGGCGTTTTTTGTACTTTATAAATATCTAATGTTAAGGAATTTGTTTATCATGAATTTTTTTAGGGAAAATTGGAGTGTAATGTTAGGAAATATATTTTGAATGGGAGAGAAATAGAAAATAAGATTAAGTGTTTTTTTCTATAACGAATTTCTAAAATAGTTAGTGACACAGTTAAATTAGTAAATTTATATAAAATTTTTAGTGTGAATATTGTTTTTATTTTTTATTTGTTATTTTTCATTCTCTATTATTTACTTAGGTTTCAGGTAAATTTTCCCAACAAATGCTTCAAAACTACAGGGGTTTTATAAGAAGGAAATTTCCCTAA